GTTTCTTATCTGAATGAATGAATGACTCTGCTGTTTTCTCTACATGAATGAATCTTTTCTGTATTTCCTTTTATTTTTCTTTAAAAGTTTTACTTTTTGATTATGACAAAAAAAAAGGGGGAGAAAATGGATCTGACTGTTCAAATAAACTCTACCTAAATGAAACTCAGACATATCTAATTATAACTAACGTGAACACTTAGTATTTCAGAACATTTGAAAACTCTGACAAATTCTTTAAAAGTAACTCTGAGATCCCCAGATCAAGTTTAACTTATCAGGCTCTGATTCTGAAACACTCATCTAAGTCAAGATCTAATTTTTTGGAACAATCAGGCTCTGATTCTGAAAAGAATACTCATGCAAAAAGGGAAGTTTCTATTCCTTCTAAGTATTCAATTCAGGGGGAGATTCATTATCTCATGGGGAGTTATAATTATATTTTTTATTGAACAAAATTTCTTATGTTTTTGTCATCATCAAAAAGGGAGAGATTGTTAGAACACAAATTGGTTCTTATTTATATCTCTATATTTTGATGATAACTCTTATGAAATTTTGTATTAAAGAATTATATACTCTAAAATTTGGTTAAGAATGTTTGCTGCAGATATTAAAGTGAATATTATTCTAGAAGCAAACTAGATCTGAACATGAAAGTATGCAAGGCTCTGAAGCGTAAGAAGCATCCATTAGAAGAATCTGAATGCTGTCTACAGAAGAGTCTGAAGCAGAAGCTACAGAAGAATATGAAGCAGAAGCCAGAAGCATATGAAGCATTGAAGATTTCTGTATAAAGAGTTTCAAGCTTAGTTTATTTCAGAAGACTCTGATAGTACTACGCTGCCAGTACTAAGGATCTGATCCCAAACTATGCTCTGAACAATTACACGCTGAAAGCACACTTGCTGCATTGCTCTGATTCAGCAAACTCTGATGGACATCAGAAGGCTCTGATCACTCAAGGCTCTGATGATATTTGCTGAAACTTGTTGAAGAAGAATTCAAAGTTATGTCCGTTGGAATAGCCAAACGACTCTTTCCTCATTTATGCTAGACACAAGAACATAGACAAAAAGGATTTTTCTGTGCATTCTACTTCTAAGAAAGGTCATGTGATGTGAAGACAAAAAGGCTCAGACCTTTTCAGTACACAGCCTTCAACGTGAAAGCTACTTGGACCTCTGTGCCTATTAAAGCAAGACTCCATCACTCTTCTTCAGTTGATTATACATTGAAAGAAATTCATTACAAGCTCTCATACAAATCTTTATCTTGCTTAATTTATTTCATAGTTCTTAAAACTTAAGTGTAAAATCACAGTTATGATATAACTTAATTAGAAGCATTTAAACACTTATTTTATTCTTACATTTGATTGTAAAAAAAATCCTTAAAAAGATCTAGTTGGAATCAGTAGTTCTTAAGAAGACTAAGAACAATTGCTCTTAGTGCTTGCTATTGTAATCAGTTGATTAATAGTGAATTAAGTCCTTGTTGAGAAAGGAAAATCACTCTTGATAGGGTAGACTGGAGTAGTTGAGTTCAACGAACCAGGATAAAAATCCTTGAGTTTTTTATTGCCATAAGTTTTTCAATATACTTATTCAACCCCCCCTTCTAAGTATTTTCTCACCTTCAGACCAGACTTTGAAGTAAGTCAGCATTTGAAGTTTTCTAACTCTAAAGCTATTAGACTCTGAGGTCAGTCAACATAAGGATCGAGAAGACTCTGATAGATCACTATCAGACTCTGGGGTCAATTAATGCAAGGATCGATAAGACTCTGATAGGTCACTATTAGACTCTTAGGTCAGTAAACATAATGATCGAGAAGCCTCTGATAGGTCACTTTCAGACTCAGAGAACATTTTGTCTTCTTCTTATCACGTGAATATTTAAACAAAAATCTACATAAAGAGTTGGGATGTGACAAATAATTCCTCTTGAAGCAAATGAATTTCAAATATATTTTCAAATGGATTAACATATCAAGTAACATTCTAACGTCTATGATTAAGCTTCTCTAAGACTCGTTTGTGTTATCTCTTCCATTCAACGACTATTTTCCATCTATCTATATAAGGAGACAAAAACTTGAAGAAAATTGAACTAACCTTTGACTATAAAAATAGTTGTTACTCTGTCAAACAAAAAACATAAGTTTAACTTAGATTTTATTGTCATTTGTATATCTTAGAAATTCTTAAGTCATAAATAGTCTTATTGAGATGTATTTTGTTTACACATCTGATTGTATATAAAGTGTAATATTTAAACAATCTCTTAAGTTAGATTGTAGTCTCTTGCTTGTGTGCTTGAGAACCTTAAGTCTCTTGTTATGTGTTTGAGCATCAAGTCTCTTAATTATGTGCTTGAGCATTAAAGTCTTTGGCTTGTGTGCTTGAGCATTTGTAATCAATTGTGATTATAGTAAAATCTCTTTGAAGTACAAGGGGATTGAATTACTCTTGTTTTGTGGGAGGAACAAGGATAATTTGCTCGTGTCTCTCTTTATTTCAATCTTTAACGTTGAACTTGTTTTATTCGCTTTAAACAGTTGACTCAGTATCAAATTCTAGACTTTGAGTTTAAAATCTAATAAGAGATTTTTTAGAAAGAAAAAAAAAACTAACACAATTCAACCCCCCATTTTTGCATTTTTTTTCACCTTTAAAATAGTCCAAAATATAGTAGCAAGTAAGAAATTAACATCTACACGAGTCACATTCATATTACATAACATGTCAAAAGAATGAAATATAATTTTTGTTATTATTTCATAATCGTGCAATAAATTTATTAAAAAAAACATAATGAAATACACATTATAGTTGCTTGCTTAAAGTATATAGGGTTAAATATATAACATCCTCTGCAATGTAAGCGAGATTTGATTTGCACCCCTGTTAAAGAAATTTTTTAATTCCCCTCTTATAATATGAATACTTTCTCTCTATGGACCCTAAGTGCACTATTTCAGCCCAAATTCCATATTTGTTCCAGCGTTGCATGCCAACAGAAACTGGCGTGGATTTTTTGTTTCCCATTCAGCCAACGTGGCCCTTTGTGTCCTATTTCAACCATAATCACATCTTCTTCATCATTATTAGTTTGTTGAACATTCATCTTCTTCTTAAAGCCTAATTCCCTTTCTAACATTCATCATTACCAGTTGAGCTTAACATATTTTGTTTCCAGCTGTATCAACATTCATCCTCTTCGTGTAAGAAAACATGGGTGAAAGCAAAATTCCATCCATTGGTATCTCAAATGGACCGAGTTTGCACAGATGTGGGTATCAAACACCATAGATAACCCTAATAGAAAATCCTAGAAATGTCTCCATTTAGAGGTAAGTTTCTATTCATGTTGTTCTTCGTTTTTCGCTTAACATTTTCTCTTACAATTGTTTTGACCTTATTGTAGAGTGGGGTAAGCTGTGAATTTTTCACGTGGGACGATGAAGTTGGTCAGGTTCAGACAACTCAAAAGATTCCCAAAATTTAATGCAATTGTGAAATAGTTTAGGCATATACTTAGAGTCTCGAATCGAATAAGTTTGAATCTTCCCTTTGGCTGAAAAAACGTTGTCTTAAATAGTGATTTTAGGCAAAAAAAATTATGTCATTCTAAGAAGTGATGAGACAAAATATTGTACATGCTAACATTAGTTCTTCATACCTTTGACAATTTTGTCGGGTCTTAACATTGACAAAAAATACGAGGCTCTAATATAAATCTCCGTGTTCGATTCTCAATGATGTGATACAATTCTCAAATTGCATTTTAAAAGTGGGAGATGTAAACATTGAAGAAAATAATGATGGCGAAGTTGAAATAGATATACCAAATAACTTGCTGATAAAGAATACATGTGACCCTATTGCTTCAATTGTTGATACCACATAACCATCATTTTTGAATAATATAAACGATACTTCATTTTTCAAAATAGAGAAATCTTAACACCTACAAGTGATATTGTTGATACGTTGAACAATTACACTATAAATTTGATTTTAGGTGATAAAAAACATACTTAAATGTTGATAATCCATGTTCATTTTGTGAAAACATTAATAGTTCCGATGATATTCATACTTCTGAATTTTTTAACACTATTAATTTTTTAGATTTATCAACCCATGAGTTAAGATTCAAAATTGGTGTTCCAATAAAATTGTTGAGAAATATTGATCAATAATCAAATTTAAGTAATGATACTCCACTTATAATTATGCATTTAAAAAATTAATTGTTTGAGGCAAAGGTCATATCACAAAGTAATATTGGACAAATATTTATATCCTAACTCCATTTGATCTGATAATTTCATTCACATTTCAACATAACACAATTTTCTATTGTTGTCTCATTTGTAATTACTATGAATAAGAGTCAAGATAAATAAATCTCTTTAAAATATTGATATATATCTTCTAAAACATGTATTTTCACATAATTAATTATATGTTGTTGTTTTAAGTATAACTTCATGTACTGGATTGAAAATCTCTATAATTTATTTATTTATTTTTTAAAATTCTTTTACAGTTATGAAAAAATAATGACAATTTTTTATTTTATAGTTTAATTTCTATCATCTTTGGAATTTATTACTATCATATATTTAATACTAATAGTTTAGTAGCGCTAGATAGAAATCTTAAAAATATTAAGGGCTTTGCCCATCCAGTAGGAAAAAAAAACAGAATATTGTGTATTTATAAACTTTAATAAAAATAAATACTGAAAATTTTAGTCAATTCTCATCCATATTAGGTATGGTGTACCTTGCCGCATAGAATCTTTCCCCACCGTTCTTATCCTATTGCAACCAACTTAATTACGCATGTCCCATTCCCATAGAATTGCATTATGAAGTTTTCCAACGTGGATTCCCGAAATTACCCTCTTCTATTTTATATATAAACCCTCAACCCAAGCAACAGTTTATACTCGTCACATACTCTCTCACTACTCACTCAACTTGAAGAATGAAAGACACCGGAAAAAGCCACAAGGCGAACGGAAAACAGTCGTCGGAGACAAGGAAGGATCGGAAATCTGCATCAGGAATAAGCGGATCGCCGAAGAAAGGTGGTCACGGAGGTAAGTTCACATGGATCGGACACAGCTACTCGGATGTTCAGATCGGACCGGATCACGGAGCTTTGGATTCCAAGGACCCGAACTTCGAAGATCGTGTAGAGATCGCTGCTGTCTGAGAATTCTGGTTTCGTGACTAGATCTGTAAATAGAGTAATATGTGAGAATGTTAGTTGATCTCTGTATTTTGAATTCAATAATGTAAAATTTGTAACTGAAATTAATCTTTGGAGTTCGTTTTCTGTAGTTCTCTTAATCGGTTATGGTTATGGCAAGTAGTTTTGAGGAGAAACTAACATGAAAAAGTTGTCTGGAATAATTGTAGTGTAACCGATTTGTTTACATTTTAATTGATTTTGCAAGAATGTGCAAGCTGAAAACGGATATGATTTGGGTAAAATTGGGTATTTAATAAAAGATGAACTTAAAGTTATAAAAAAAATATTATGTCTTGAATTAGGAGAGATGATTTAAGCAAGAAAAAAAATCTCACTGAAGTAGAATTGGTTACAACTTATAGGGATTGAATTCTCAAAACTATTTTTCTATATTTTTTAATATTGAGATATATATCTTACTCTTCGTCCCAAAATAAAATAAGTTCCATTTAGAAAACTTATTTGGCCAATTTTTTTAATTTTGCATTGCATTAATGCTAATTTGTCGACATTTATTTTATTTTGTCACTTATTTTATATTGACATAGAGAGTAATAGATTTTTTTATATATTACTTCCGTCTTATAATGATTGTGTGCGGTCATTCTTATTTATTTTAGTTAGTTAATGAAATAGTTGAAAATCATAAAAGTTATTATTTATTTTAGTTAGTTAATGAAATAGTTGAAAATGTAGAAAAAATAATAAATGATATATTGATATTCTAAAATGACATTTATTTTGAAAATGATGAGACTTTGAATGAAAAAAGTGCAAATGAAACTTTGAAAAAGTGCACATGAGACTTTTCTTTGACAGAGGCAGAGGAAGTAGTTTTTAAGTATTTCTTTCATCTTGCTTCTCTCACATAAATTTGTTTTCCATCATTTTTTATTACATGTTCCTACTTCAACACTTTAGTTGTGATGGTGTAGTAATTTTGTCAAATTGTTTGATGATTCAAACATTTATAATCTCTCTAAAATAGTTTAGATTAGATTGTAGTGGAGATGGTCTCTAACTCGGCTTTGACAGAAGTGTTGACAATTAGATGGCTTTAGAGCTGGAGTTGAAGAACATGTTGATGAACATGTTGATTCTCTGATGATACGGCAGAGCTTGAACCTATCATCTTGGATTGCATTTTTCTTTGTAATAGCTTTAATGAGTGTTTTTTTTAAAATCTTAATCGTACTTCTAGCATGTGTGCTCTCGTGAGACTTGGCCACAACATAGGCTCTAACTTGGTTTAGATTGTTTCTCTTTGATAGGGAGTTCCCTTTGTTGGATTGTAAAGATTTCATTTCTCGTTAATGAATGAGTTTTTCTATAACAAAATCTTTTTAGGTGGGTGATAGTGGTTCCTTCGTGTTTTTCATTTTGTAACATGTTTTTTTTTTATAAGAGGGAAGGTCGAAGCCTAAAAGGAAAGAAAACTAGACTAAAACACTTCTAGTAACGGAGAACCCATCTAAATTCCTTTGATACAAAGCCTCGATCAAATCAAGACACGACTAAATAAAATTCTTAGTTAAGTGAATTTCTCTATTGGCAAGAGCATCTGCACAAAGATTCGCTTCACGATAAACATGTATCACTTTGATATCATTGTCCACATTGAAGAAAAACCTTATCTTATTTATGAGATTTTGTCCCATCAAGTTGTTTGAATTGTTATTAATAATATCATACACAACTTAACAAGAATCAACGCAAATATCAATTATATTAAAACCTAACTCCATCACCATCTGAAGGTCTTTCAAGACTCCGCACAACTCCAACAATATAAACATCGACAACTCCTATGAATTTTGAAAATCCTCTCAACCATTCTTCTTCATTACCTCTCACACCACCACCACACCCTATTAACACTCTATCATCCTTTGCCCCATCCGTGTTCAACTTGACTCTCCCCTGAGAAGGAGCTTCCCACCTGACCTGGATAACCATTCTCTGCGGAATGTTAGTAACACCATTTTACGTTTTAGCTTGCTCATAATCCCAGATTTGCTTATAGATTGTATTCATCATGTTAGGAGGCCGAGTATATCCTTCACCGTGACATTCTTTATTATGCCACCACCAAAGGTTATAACAAGCTATAGCCCAAAATGAACTTCAATCTTCATTAGGGTATCATCTCATATTCTAGTTCATGTTGATATCTAACCAATCATTGAGATCACCTACAAAGAAAAACATTCTCTTGTTATTATGCATCATCGAAAGCCAACGCGGCATAGTCAGTGGACAATCTCTCAAAAAATGGAGCACATCTTCTTCTTCGTCGCCACAATAACTACACACTGCACTTTCCAATCCCAACTTGTTCTTCTTGCTATTATTAATAAGACCATCATGGCTTAATAACCACATAAAACTCATATTTCTTTCTGTAATGTTAAGCTTCCAAAGCTCCCTCCACACCTTTTTCCTCTCCCTCCTATTATTAATATCCAGTTTGCGATACATGTTGTCGATTGAAAACTACATCCCCTTGAATCTAAAGTTGATGCAATAATCATTACCATTTTCTATAGTAGAAGGATTTAGTCTTCCAATTCTGTCACCTACATCCCCTGGAAGCCAGCTATTCAGAATGGTGCAGCCCTAACCAATTCGATGTCCAAGCTTCGACTGTTCTCCCATTACCTATATGCCACAAAGCATCTTCCTCCACCAACAACCACGCCTTCACTACATTCTTCCATAATGTTGAATCAAAAGGCTTGACTGTCAACTTATTCTCATTTTTGTTCTAAATATATTTGCATCGCACCACACGACTCCATAACTCATCAACATTATCATGAAGCTTCCATCATATCTTCACGAGCATGCCTTATTCATGGTAAATAACATGCCACCAAACACCCTTAATTACCATTTTTCATTAATATCATTTACCCTAATGAAATTACAAAAGAGTAAATAACATAATACAAAATATATAAGTCAATCACAATGTTTTGTTACGCCAAATTGTAAATTTCTATTAGTCCAATTTACCCTTCTGTCGCACCCAAGTGCCTCATAACTATTAGATGATAGGCTTAGGGGGATGAATAAATCACAAATTTAAAACCAAAACTCTTGGTAAAAATTTGTTTTAAAAAATATATGGCACATCAGAAACAACCCGAATCGAATCGTCTAACCGAACCTACTATCAAAAAGCTCGGATATGCATAATGAAAACTGATGGAATGATAATAAAAACAATTTTTTAAACAAATATTAATCAATCAAATGCAAAGCTATTCGTAAAACTTATTTCCAATGAACACAAAGCGATAAAAATACTCAAAGACAATTTATCAAACACTTTGTGTGTGATTGATTACGTTTGGAAATTCTATTTGTTTTGTTGATGTTAAAAGCCAATCACAATCAAAATGATTGTGATTATATAAACAACATATTAAAAGATAGTTGAAAATAATTTCCAATCAAATTAATCGAAACAACAATGAAATTGATAATTTGCAAGAACCACAATTAAAGAGAGATAAAACGATAAAAAGACACAAAAATGTATTTAGGTAGTTCTCCAATCGGCCTCGCTATGACTATGTCTTCCCTCAATCCGAAATCAAATTGAGATACTTACAATTAACTTTATCTTTGCAAAAATGTTTATACAAGAGATGAAGAACTATAACCCCACAAATCATATGGTTTATTGTTGATTCAACCACTTCCAAACCCTTGATCAAAGCTTGATCAAGTCACCAACAATACAATTACAATCCACTAATTTTCCCAAGCACGCACTTGTTGAACCCAAGATTCCCGAACACGATTCATTGTCTCGCGTTATTCCCTTGTAAGGAAACTACCCTATCATAATGCCTTCACTCAGTCGAATATGTGTTGACATGATCTTGTCCAAAACCTTCAAATCCCAATGTTCTTTAAGGAAAACCTCACCTTGGTTTTCTTATTTTAAACACACAAAGATCCCAACCTAATGTTCTCGGTTACACTAACCTAATTGGACGTTATCAACCCTAATCTAGATGGTCACCCAATTGAAAAATGATTATGTGTAGTTCAATTGCGTGTGTGCATAAAAGAAAGGTTGAAGATGATGGGAATGCTTTGTAATATGGTTTCTTTTAGGTAATTCACTAGTCCTTGCTATAAAAAGGTGTGTGTATGGGTATATATAAGTATGTGAAGAAAATGAGCAAAAGGAATGCAATAAGTTGGAGCAAAAATGAAATTTTTTAAGATGGAAAATTGTATAGGTCGGTCTGTCAAAGAAATCAGGTCGGCCTATCAAGGTCTCAGGTCGGCCTGTGAAGATTATATGTCACCTACAGGTCGACCTATATGAGGCGACATGTGGATAAAAGCTACATGCTTCAATATTGATCCATGTGAGCCAACTTGAAATGTTATATGCCAATCTATACTAAATCTGAAAGTCGTATAGGTAGGCCTATTTATGCATGTGTCGACCTAAAAGGGGTTGATCACTCAAAAAGATGTTTTTTAATGCAATTTTAATGCAATCTTATTTTCCAGCTTACTTGAATTTTTCATAATACTAAGATGCTCATATAGAATGGGAGGATATCGTCGAATATACATAACACTACACTACCATAGTTTTGACATCACTCAAAATCCAAAAGCACTCACACACTCCCCTTTTTTTATGATGGCAAAACATGAGACAATGTGTTTCGCGACGTTGTTGTCTTAAAGAAGACTCCCCTAAATATGTGTATCCGAATTTAACTTGTATATACTTCTCCCCCTTTGACAACATCAAAAAGAGAACAAGCAAACTATGAGAAGTATCAATAACCACATATAAATTAAAATACTACACAGAGGCAATTTGCAAAGAGGGGACTATTAACACGATAATACTCACATAGAATGATATACACATTGACTAAGAATGCCTAAACTTAAATACAAGCATATAAAGTAACGATAGAACA